TCTTCTATAATACATTACAGACAATACATGTGTCTGAATATCAGGTTGAAAACATTAATGTTGTTATATCTCAAACTGTGTAGTATAGTGGTTTATCATATACATCTACCACGCAGAAGTTAGACGACAACACTCTAAAAACAGAATGTTTTTTTCTAAAATGTAAATAAATTTTTTTATTTCAGTGATCTCGGCACTTTCCACAACATATGATCTAAGCATCAAAACAAACAAGTAATAATACGGTGATTACAATTAATTATGACTAAACTGAGAGTCACAATAGCGTATTGGTTAGGCCAGTGTGTGCCCACTGTGGGCGCCATGCTAGGACGGTACACGGACAGTAGCTTCATCGGTCAATTCAGAGGAGGGGGTGGGGAGAGACTGCCAGTAGTCTTAATTATAACCTTGAGTCCTGGCCTGGGTGGAGTGGTAGAAGCCTACTGACCAGCTGTTTATATAGTGGGTGCCCGCTCCCTTGGTTTGCTGGGACAGTTAAGGGTCGGTAGCTTCGTTAGTGTGACGAGCTGGACAGGACAGCTGTTTCTGCCCTTTTAAGTATTCCTTTGTATTAGCAAAATTATTAAATTTTCTTACCTTTTTCTTATTGCTTCATTATAACAATATTATAATTAGGAAGTTTAAAGGCGAATGAGTAGAGCAAGGGTTAACTCAAGAGTTAACTCCCCCTTTTAGGACTCTTCTTTCATTTTCATACCAGGTACGATTGGGAGAAGATAGGCAATAGTTTGCTCTCCTCAATTGACTAAGTTCAGATTAAAGTTAGTAGTTAGTTCTGTTGTCTTGTTGTCTGTGTTTGAATTCCCTACCAGGGGTGAGTGAAAAGAATTAGTTTAATTTGATCTATCGCTACTATTCCTCTGAATTAATTTGATCTGATGAACTCTATAAAGTGTGATGACCACATGACTTAAAAACCTTATAACTAACCATGTTATTGATCTAGTATCTACATGTATGCAAACATATGATCTATTTGACGATGGCAATAATGTTTATTTGATACTAGAAACGTGCATTGGTAGTTTTAATTATTATAATTATATTAATTAAGTGAGAATTTACGTCCTCATGTGAAATCTCGACCGGTTCCGGTTTCCAGCATGGTGAGACAATAAAAAAAGGAATGAAGTGTATATTCGTTATATCTAATCCTTACTAAGTTGATTTTACCTCATGGTGATATTAGCTTGATAAATCACTGTCTTGCTTTAATTTAGATTTAGTCCAGATAATTCTGAGACTGGTTTAAGAGCTTGAAAAGTGAATAACACAGGGGGGCTAAATTTAATATTCACACTGTTGGAGAAGAAGAAAAGAGATGTATGGCCCATGCTTGTAATTATTATTGTTGTATATATATTTCCCAATTACTAGGAATATATTTCAGTACAACAACAGGTGGTCTTACAATTTCAATAATTATATTTCACCCCTCACAACTTCTAAACTCTGCTGACTAAAATTTTAGCACACATGTGGATTAAAATTTAAACTGGAGTGAGTGTTGTATATTTTATGTTAATACTGTGACAGATGGAAAGCCCATTGCCACCTATGATTGTATTATGACATCTATCCCAGCACCCAGTTATATTGATGGAGATATGTCAATCCCATTTATTTTCAAACTGTGCAAAGCACCTGTTATGAGTTTCCGGCCCATGTAAACTCACTCCCTGATTCTCATTCTTTGTGATGTGAACCCATGTGGTTGAAATGAGAGCCTACTGTGTAAGGTGACTGTATCCCTTAAAAGGACTACTAGTCTAAAGACATCAGAATAATTCGCACTGATGAATGTCCTTTCTTATTGTGTGACTCTTGTGCTTGAAAGTATTCATGAAAACTGATGTTCTGTATACATTCCCATTCTGTACCAATAAAGAATGTGAACACTTGTGATTACCCTACTCCATATGTGTGTGTAGTGTAACATTATATGAGAACTGGAGGCACTGTTGTCTCTAGTGAGTACTCTCCAGACTGCTTGTATAGGGACTGTTCTATTCTTCTAGTTCCAGGTGGTAGATCCAGGTGGTAGTTGCATAAGTAAATCCCAGCGTAGCTGGAGATGCCCGATTGTCTGGACTGGACTGGAAGATTCGGCCTGCCTGACGTGTCTCCGAGGCTTAGCTAGAAGCTGACCAAAGGAACCTGAGCTACAGCTAAGTGGACAAATTTGTCTACTAATATAAGGAACTGTTTCTCCACAGCCACTCCAATTAATAGCTAGAATTTTCCAAATAAATTTTATAGTTGTTAATGTTCTCACAGTTTTATGGAGTTTAATTTTTAACTAGTTATTTGTGTCAGTGAGCTTAAGTATATTTAAATATACAAGTTTATTAACAATAGGGAATAAGATGTGGGCAAACCCTGAATCCTTTCATTTAACCAGCAAGACTGGGGGTGATATAAACCTTTATCATGATCCACTGTTTGTAATTCCCTCTGTAAATTGCACATAGTGCAGTCGCTAGTTTAAAAGCGAATTTACCCGCCACAGTTAGTCAAATCTGTGTGCCGGTAGAAAGGGTCAGGTGGAGGTAACAGTCTCAGGTGAATTTAATGGCAATACTAAACATACAGCAGCGGTGGGGACAAAGATGAGGTAGAAGATGGAGAATAGCACGTTCCTGTCCTTCCCTCCTGTAATTAGGGGTATAGGTGCCCATATATTTAAAAAAAAAGAGGGAACCTCTACTGACAATATAAAGGCTCCTGTTGTGCTCGTTCCTCTGTGGAGTTTCTACTACATATACAGCAGCTAGGGCCAAAGACCAAATGGACCAACCACCAGGACTTTCCACCCGAGCTTATAGGTTGTAAACAAAGAAGAAAAACCAGGACTAGGTATGGTGTGTAATTCGTTACCTTTATGTTAATAGACTTTGTATTGACTTAACGCAAAGCCACTGCAGTGGAGCGGTTAGATGCTCTGACTGCCGGTCTGAAGGTCTTGTATTCGAATCTGCATCGATTCAGATATATTTGGCGGCGAGATCTACCCAGCCTATAACTGACACCAGAAAAGTAAAGGCGGTCGGTGTGATGTTCACTAGATGGCCTACCGAGAGCCGACTGGTATAAGAAAATATGAGTTTAGTTTAATGTACCTTTATGCCACTGGCGACTAAATAGCTTTTTACTGCTACTTATATAGACTAAACGGTTTGGACTTAGTAATGAGTTAGAATATCTTCACAGCACTCCAGACACATTCATAGGCGATCAGATTCCCCGATCAACATATTCATCAGCGTCGTGCGGTTAATAGTAACAGTCCTATGCTGGTTAACAAGACTTCGTATGCGTCCGGTGTGCTTCTCATGCTGGCTGTGCCGATCTTTACTCCCAATTCGCGTATTCTTAGCAGTGATGTGGATACGTTGCTTCCAAAATCCGCAGAACGTCCTATCTCTCTAAGGGCAATGACAATGTCTGCGTGATCCATGGGCCGACCATCTTCAAATAATGCAGCACCTGCCAGTCTATCAGCTCTCTCATTACCAACAACGCCTGCATGATTTCGGACGAATGTGAAAGTAACTGCACTCACAGGAGAGTTTTGCAACGACTCAAACCACTATCTGCGTAACCAGCCTGACTTGACCCACCGGATCATGCTCAAAGAATCACTCAGCACACACACGCGGGAATAGTCCTGTGATCGCAGCCACATGAAAGCTTGTGTCACCGCCATCACCTCCCCCGTCACGCTGCTGGTGGTCATGGAGAATGCACCGCTGGCCTTCTGAACTGTTCTGCCTGAAGAGCGGTTTGGACAGTCGCATAGAACATATCAATACACAAGTTTTACAACAAACGTCATGTAGCTTAGGAATAGTTTTTTTTTTCCTTCTAAATTTGCATTTAATCTGTTGCCTTTTTGATACGTCATATGTAACTTTCTACACTGTAAATTTTATTGTAACTTGTTAAAGTAATATAAAATACAAGTTTCGTGTTCGAGTGATTATTCGGTTTGAACTACGAAAAGTCTAGAGCGGTAGAAATTGTATTTAAATGCTTAACATTATTTGTTCTAATGCAAATCATCTCTGATTTTTAGGGTATCACTAGTCTGGTCTAGCTGATTCCTTTGAATACGTATGTTGACCACGGTATTAAAAATCTGTATTAACCCGAAGCAAACGAAGAAGATCCGGTAAAAGATGTAATTGTTATTTGCCAGTCTAGTCATTCCGACTTTAATAGTGATGTAAGTGTGCACTTAAATGCGTTCTTTCTTGTCCAGCATGCTAGTTCAAAAGCAGTATTTGATGTATGGTGTAAAATAAATGGTATTGAATAAATGATAGACTATTGAATTTAGACATGACTTTTGTGGAAAGTGATGTTGAAATAATTTAAGGAAGAAACAAATCTTCAGATTGCGTTGGTATATTTATCTAAAAATTATCGATTACTTTGCTATCTCAAACATCTTGGCATATCTGTTCATTTATTAAATATACAAAAGATCTTTTCTTATCTTTCTTATGCGTGAAAATATATAATCTTCACATTTTTGATCAAGAAATTGCTTGAAAAATAGTTTTTCTAAGTCGTAAGAAAGTTGGGCTTGTTTGAAGTGAAATCATTTTAATTTTTAATAGCACACGTAGGCACACACTGTGACAGTGCAGTATGATGTGCGCATAAAAAGTATGTGGGAACTAAGCGTGGGCATCTTTACTGCAGACATCCTCGGGGCGCTGTTTAAACAATTTAGGTGATCGAATATCCGGAGATAAGTTGAGACATTGCTTAAGCATAGCAAAGTGGGACATTTTGTTTTTGAATATTCTTGTCGTAGTGTTGTATTTAAAGTGTAGACATCAGAAGCTTCTTGGTCATGTAAAATAAAATATATCCATGAATACCTGGATTAGGCCTTTTAAAGCACAGACTTTATTTTTGGGACTACTTTGAATGCAAAACCACTACATAAATTACCATTAACTGCAAAGATGTCATCAATTGTAAAAGACCGGTGTTTTTTCCGCTTGCTAATTACACCCTCCTCTCAGATAGAGGAATCGCGGGCATTGCTTATTGTCATTAGTACAATATTTTACGAAATTTTTGCACCGTTAATGAATTTGTTTGGATTTTCAGCCAACACTTTGTCCCTAATAATCTTTATGAAAATGGGTTTGACTGACGGCGTCACAATATCCTTCTTTGCCTTGTCTTTTTCGGATGTGTGCAGGTCTACATCTATGATTTTTACATGGCTCTGTCAAGTGCTTTCAGTCTTCGCCTGCGTAAATCCAAACGTAAACCCTCTGATACCACTGGCGATACACATAACTACAATGTTCTTTGACATATCAGCTTTAACGATTATCTGCATTTCAGTTCAACGATGTGCCTGCGTTGCTTTCCCTCTACAATTCAGGGGCGTATTCACCAGATCAAGGGTTACATGTTTTCTTGCAGTCATATACATCGTAATTTTTTCTTGGTACATTCCATTATTTGCAGAGCAACGAATAGAGATACACATTGATCCTGTAACCAATGTCACCGTTTTTAGAGTTGCATTTACTGATGCATTAAACAAGATTATGCATATTAACTTCAGTGTCCACGTTGCAGGATCTATCATTTCCCAACTAGTAATTTTAATATGTTTGGTGATTTTTACCAGAGCTTTGATAGCATCTTTTAGATTTCGCCTACAAACTTCTACTCCTTCAGTACAAAAAGATATCCCTCTGGAAGCCCCTGACAGCACTACTAGCGCATCCTGCTTAACTCTATCTCACCGTAGATTTGATTTAGAAGAATTTAGAAGAAATGTTTCTCAACATGGAGATTCAACAACTCTAGAGTCTTGTATGGATAATTTGACAAAAAGGCATTGTGACAATAGCTCTCTAAAAAACAACAAAACGGCAACACACTTCAAACCAAAGAACGATAATATCGACAGAATTAAAACACAAAAACATAGTAAAGAGACACAGATCATCAAAGTTGTCACCCTTACGTCAAGTATTTTCATGTTCTGCCAATTTCCAAAGTTGTGTGTTTCCATTACACATCTTTTCCTGCCTGAGTTTAGTCAAGCTCGCAAGTACCATATGAGTTACACTATTTTAATGGCAATACAAAGTTTTTTTGAGTATCTCAACTCAGACTTGAATATCTTTGTGTACGTTGCATGCAACAGCAAGTTCAAAGAGACATTCTATTCTACACTAGATCATTGTGTTATCAGAGCTACCTCGAATGTTAGACAAACAAATGACGCTTAGTTTCTAACCAGCTGCTATCAATGAACTGAAAGATATGCGTGGTTAAGATATTTGTTTACAGAACACCAGTTGACATTCAGAACCTGATTAAATAAGTGTATTCGAAGTCACATGACACCGTCATGAGCCGGCATTGTGTAACGGATTCATTGAAATCTTAACTCATGATGTGATATTGCAACTTTATACTATTCGTCATGATTATGCTCTTTGCATGATACAATGTTTAGTATATCTTCTAGTAATTAGATAAAAATCAATACGAATTTGTACATGTATGTGAAGATTAGTTCTTTTTTTCGTTTTGCATTGTGTCCTATGCGTAAATATTTTTGAAGTTAAAAAATGCAGACACATTTGAAACAACAATGTGGAGTATAAATTCATCGTCATTGAAGACATGCTCCAGAACGTATATTTGAATGATCCTTATGAATTATTTACATCCATTTTGCGTGCACTTGGTCGCAAATTATTCCTCCCTACCCTGCTTAACGACAAAAATGGTTTCTGATGATGATGATTATGATGATATTACCTCATCACTACTCATTACTCTTCGTTTATAGGATACCATACTGAAAGACTCAGTAAAGGGCTCTTTTCTCGACTGTGACCTATAGGCCAGTCGGCACTAGATTATTATTATTTTTTTTTTTTTTTGGAGTGTTTTGTATGTTGCTGGTATTTTTTGTAAGTCTGTTTTTACATTCGTTGCCGTTTGTGCAAGTTATTGTGGTGTTGTTTATGAGTGCATTCAAATTTTATTCAAAAAACAAAAAAGAAATGGAAAAGTAACAAAACAAGGAGAGAAAGGAAAAAAGTTCTGGGGCAGGGGAAATCAAGAAAAGAGGGACTCCATTCATTTAATTTCAAGGACCAGCTTCTCCTGGGTCCTTTTGATGGGAAACTTCTCCGCGAGGGTGGCGTGTCCGGGTACACGGAGTAATTCCGCGTCGCTAGCTGTTGCTAGGGGCCACTGACACCCTCTGCACTTGAGATCCCACTTTGAATGTGATGTTGTCCCTGTCTTCGTGGTACAGCCGCTGCACTGGATCTCCCAGTAGCAAGGGTTGCTGTCCTCCGTTTCGCCAGTTCTGGCTTCTCTTGTCTTCTTTTTCGGGGTGCTTTCACTTCTTGGTTTGTTTTGTCCGGCTTTAAATACTGTCGGTGATGTTTCATTTGAACTGGCTGGCCGGTTTCTTTTCTTGTTCTTTTTTTTTTTTTTCTTGTTTGCAGTGGTCTTCTGAACTCCTGTATCTTCTTCTTCTGCAGATGACTGTGCGTCCTCGGAAGAAGTCTTTTCCTTTGGCGGCTCATCTTCTGCTCCTTGGAGGACTCTATCAGGAGTGGAAAAACCTCCTCTTCTGAGATTGTTTTTGCTGGTGCTGGCTCGGGTCGTCTCCTCCTTGTGGGGCACTTGTTTGCCCAGTGGTCATTGTGCCCACAGTGTGGACAATTTGTCCTTCTGCCTGGCACAGTGACCCAGAGCTGGTGCTTGCCGCCGGGGAGCGCCAGATTCCTCATGTTAACATAATAAGGAATCGGCTTTTTCTCCCTTACCAAGGCATACCATCTGTCCTTGCCGTGTCTAGCATGATGAACTTCGGGATCGTCGTCGCCTGTTATCCATGCCACGATCTTCTTCGCGGTCTGTTCTGTGGCTGTAATCGGTACCTAATGGATGCAGACTTTTGTTTTCATTTTTTCTAGATGTTCTAGAAGAACATCTACTCCTTCCACGGTCTTCCTCACATTGTGCAGAAGATCGAATTTGGTCCTGTGTGCTTCTTCTTTAAGGGTGAGGTACCACTCGGAGGGGTTCGAGTAGCGGTACAGCTCCGCGATTCCGTGGATGGTATATGCAGCCAAAATTAAAATCGCCTTCTCTAATTTTTTAAAACACTTTCTGCTAGCCATGTTTGCCTCGGTCGACCTAGAAGCAAGATCATGTATCAAAATATTCGTACTCAGTGTGTAGTCGAGCGGGTGATCTTTGGGTTTCCAAAAATGTGCGCTACAGCCCCCTGGGTGGGAAAGGGGGAGGGGGGCGCTAACACCACTTTCAAGGCGCTAGGACTGTCCAGCTTTCGGTAGCGGCCTCGATCAAATTTGGGAGCGCCGGGACGGTCTAGCGGGTGGCCTCCTCCGGTGCAGTTGGGGGTCATTAAAAAACATAAGATTGTAGAGAGTAAGAAAGAGAGAAAGAAATAGAGACAGGAAGAGGGGAGAACAGAGAGACAGAAACAGAGAGAAGAAGAGGGGAGAACATTTTGTAAAACCGTTTGTACCTGTTTTAATGTAGTCTAAGATTCGAAAAAAACAAATACAGTTTCCACAGAAGAAGAAGAAAAGAAGGAAAAGAAGAAGAAGAAGAAGAAGAAGAAGAAGAAGAAGAAGAAGAAGAAGAAGAAGAAGAAGAAGAAGAAGAAGAAGAAGAAGAAGAAGAAGAAGAAGAAGAAGAAGAAGAAGAAGAAGAAGAAGAATAAGGAGAGAAAGAAGAAGGAGAAGGAGGGAAAGAAGAAGAAAAAGAAGTAGAAGAAAAAAAGAAGAAGGAGAAGAAGAAGAAGGAGAAGAAGAAGAAGAAGAAGAAGAAGAAGAAGGAGAAGAAGAAGGAGGAGAAGAAGAAGAAGAAGAAGAAGAAGAAGAAGAAGAAGAAGAAGAAGAAGAAGAAGAAGAAGAAGAAGAAGAAGAAGAAGAAGAAGAAGAAGAAGAAGAAGAAGAAGAAGAAGAAGAAGAAGAAGGAGAGAAAGAAGAAGGAGAAGGAGGGAAAGAAGAAGAAAAAGAAGTAAAAGAAAAAAAGAAGAAGGAGAAGAAGAAGAAGGAGAAGAAGAAGAAGTGTAAGAAAGAAGAATATAGTAATGTGGTCAATATCACTCCTACCGCCCTTCCAATTTTTTTTTTTTTTTATACCCCTATCAGAACATAAACCACTAATCAGTTTAGCTCAGCCAGATTAGGGTGTTTCTTTTTAAATCACCTGTAGTTTTCTTTTCATCATTCCCCCTGTTGTTTATCTCATTATCCAATAGCCTTCACGTTCTGTTTGAGATTTCGTATCATTTATTACGTATGGTTGCGCATTCAAGCTTTCTTCAGTATGCACCAATTGACGCCTTCCGTTGAAACTGATTATTCCCCACACTATTACACCTCCAGCATACCGCGATCGAAACCCACTGCAGGCTGCGTGGATTTTTGTCGTGGTATGGGACGTCGCAGGTCGACCCAGCCTAAAATGGGTACCAGGATGGGCTGTCCTGGGAAAGTAAAGACAGCTGGCGTAATGCTGACCACATTACCCACAGAGTGCTGATGGTCTGTAAAAATATGGGACGCTCTGCCCATATGCCCGATGCGCCGAAAGGCGTGAAAAGGGATCTTTACTTTTTTACTTACTACCGTGCAGCGGAGCTTCATCATCTCACTTTTTGGCTTAAGCTTTATTATGCATACGGTAGACCGTCTATCATGACGCTGCGACGAAAAGAAAGACTCGTCACTGAACCAGATACGTGGCCGAGTAATTTGCCTTACGCTCTAAAAGTAGTGGGATTGTTTTACGGAAGCATCGTACAGGTCCCGATTGCAACTTTCACGCTGATCCCTGAGGATCAATACCGAAGCTATAGAGTTCGTGCTTTATGAGACGCTTTCAATAGGTTGCTTGCCGTTCTGAGAGCAGATACTGTGTCAGATGTGATAGCCGGAAGCATTGAAGTAGATCCTTTCGACTTTAACGAAATTAATTTTAAATATAGCCTCTTGGCGCAGAAGAGTGCTCTGCACTTATTTTCCCCAGAAGAACTTGACCTAGTGCAAACAACACTGAAAAACCTCATATTTGAAACTAATACACCGGACTCTCCCAACACAAACGTAATGTAACAATTGAGCTGGAAGATTTCTCCATGCAGAAATGTAATCATCCCATATCAAAGTGCCATTGATCACACTGCGGCAGAATTTCAGTGCTGTCATAAATAGATCAGAAGTAATATTATCTCTGGGATATTAAAGGGTGCACATTATATTAACAGTGAACTATTGAACTTTCCCCGATTTGAATTTCTTATGTGAAATTAATACCTTGCATGTAATTTTATAATATCGATTCGGTGTGCGGTGTTCGATTTTGAAAGCAAACCTTAGTTTGACATCCTGTGTACAAAAGTTGTACTTTTCAATCTCATGCTTCAATTCTTTAAACATTTGTTGAACCAGCGTGACCTTTCTATGTCGTTGTGTCTTTGACAGAAAAGGAAAGATTAAAAAAAAAAAAAAAAAAAGACACGGTAATTTTTTCGGTCGCAAAAAAGAACAGGCGTATTTTAAGGCAAAAGATAGTCAGTGATACAAATGGGACGATTGTATACATATTAATAGAGTTTGAGACATGCACAAAAAGGATGGAATAACAGAGGTTGTTTAAGATCCTTTGCAGGAAAGCTTCCGGTGCTTTATTAATATCCTACCCCGATATGACGTCACAGGACAGTCCGACATTTTAGAGTGTGGTAAGACTGGGTTTCCAGACTTTCGGATGCATTTAAAGACCCCAAAACATCTAGAACTGGCCCTAACCTCATGAGAGAGTGCAGCCTATGTCACACGACTGCATGTAGCCTAGGTCCCACCCCCTGAAATGTTATATTGTCCCGTGATCTGTGGATTTCCCCTGTTTGGGGTAGGATATTAATAAAGCACCAAGCTTGGAGACGGTTCGTGGCTTCTTCTTCTTCTTTGCTCATCGGTTGTAAGCTTTTTGCGGAAAGTCCTGGCTGTTCGTCCATTTTGACTTCGGCTTTGTGCCAGGGCCAGATTTTTTGCGTGTTTATCCGTTTTACTGGTTTATTTGTGTACAGTTGATTGTTCCTGGCCCCTTGTGCAGATACTCTCCGACCTCAAAGGAAGCTCCCAATTAGTCGACTCCTACGACATGCTTATTGGGGAGGCAGGGCGTCTATTCTTGTTTTTCACACAATGGGGCCCGGGGACCC